CAGTTACTGTTGATGATATTTTGTTCTGTATTTGTTGCTTGGTCTAGATTCGACTTTTTAAGATACCACTTAGACTGGTTTTTTAGATAAGCTGCTAGCAAATTGATAAGCAAAACTAAGTAATTTTTAAAAATTAATTTTATCAATATTTATTTATGCTCGTTAAAAGGCTTGTTATGTGTTTTTATATTTTATTCAAACTACGCTGTTTCTATGAAATATGAGTTGCTGTTGCTAAGCACGCGTATATTATTGTCTTAGAATAAGCGTGAAAAACAGCACTAAGCATTTGTCTTGAATAAGGAGCGACAAGTCTGCCTTTTGCGGCTAAACAAATTTGTAGTTTTTATAAAACGAATTTAAAAGTCAAAATTTATTGTTTTTTCTTTTTTTTTTCTGTCTTATATATTATAATTCTGTCTGTGTTTTCTTTTTTTTGTTCGTTTTTCGTTTATTCTTTTCAATGTCTTTCTTGATTATTAAATTATCGAGAATTTGAGTAAAAAAGTGATAAATTTTGGTGAGGTAGTGAGTGTATAAATGTAATGCTGACAGTCATAATGAAGGCCAAGAGCAACATTTTTAATCTATGAGTAGTGAAATTTAATATTAATTAGAAGCATTAGAGAAATAAATTTCTGACTGTGAAAAAAATATAGTGAACTCAGGATTTTTTATACTTTTTTCATGACTTCAACTTGATTACTTTTGGACAAAATTTTGAAATTTACTACAGACTATTTGTGACTTTTGACGTTTTGATGGCCGAAAGTGTTAAGCAAAAAATGGAAAAAGCTGTGATTGCCGCTAAAACAGTCGGCTGAGATTAGCAACGATTGTTTGCCTGTTGCGTTTAAACAGTGTTTAACCGTTGAGAGAAATATAATATTTGATTTTTTTTACTGCAGTCTTAAGGAGTATCGGAGCAAAAAGATGATTCTTTTGCTTATATATTTTTCCAATAATGAACTATATATATATTTTTTAGCATCTTTATATGATTTACATTGTCTTCATCGTGTTTCTTATAACTGTTCGAGGAAAAAGTTGAACTGACTTCTGAGGTGTCAGTGATGTTCTGATTTGTGTCTAATTTTTTAGTCTGATTGCAGTTATGGTATAATCGAAACAGTCATTTTTTTTTAAAAAGTTGACTATACTATTGTTGCAGCTCTTTAGATTTTGGTTTTTGAAGGAGGAAAAAGAAAAAAGCAAAGTTTTGTAGTTAAGTGATGTGTTCGGTTTGCTGTCGTGGGAGTTGTTAAGGCACGTTTTTATGTACACTATTGCCTAAGCCGTTTTCCGGTCAAAATATTTTGGTAGTGATGGGAGTGATGGTAATGGAAGGGCTCAGCGAATAACAACTGCAAATCATCGGTCATTGTGGTTTAATCTTTTTTTTCCGGAAAAACCTCTTTTAAAGAAATCTGCAGTCGATCTGCAGGTATTAATATTAATTGGAGGATAAGAGAATCT